CTCGAGACGTGATGAAAGGCGGTGATGGGCTCACGTTCGCACGTTCTTGCTCAGCGCTCGGACACGTCCTCCTCATTTGCGTCAGCACTCGTCGACAATTGCTTCTTTAAGAGATCAGGTCTGAAGGAGGGTTTGTGGCACTTAATTTTTTTTTGTTCGCTCTAGTGGGTGTCAATACCAACCTCCGGTGCACGAGCCTTCAAATACTTTTGGTGCGGCCCAATTAACTTTATCTCAGTAAAGAGGCAGTGGCTCCCAGATAATGTCAAGGGTGCATTAGGCATTCGCAGCGAGCTTACCGAGCGCCCAGCTTTCAAACGCTCAGCAGAGCCCCTCTGTCATGCTCTCGTGCTTAAATTACTGCAGTGCTGATCTAATTGGCAGTGGAAGCTGCCAGCAAATATGCAATACTGAAACTGCAGTGACTGGGCATGTGTTTTCTCCAGGGCCTCTGTTATAATGACCCAAATACGTAATGTATTCCTTCGTAGAGTGGTTGAGTCAATATATATAGAGACTGAATGATCGAGTGCCTCATTTCTGTTTTATCACCGAAAATGATTTGCATATGTATAACAGTGTTATTTAATGGTGTAATTAGTTCAATGAGGCAGGACCTGAAATCGTTCTTGTCTAGGTCAGTGGTTCCCAGCATTTTTTTTTTTTTTGGAAATACTGGAAACCTGCAGATGAAATGCTGTGCTGAAATGCCCTGTCAGAGTTTCTTGCACAACTTATTCAGCAGCACAATACTAAATCTTCAGCACTTAACTGACAGCATGACCAGTGTAGTCCAAATTCCAAATGAATGATTCGGTTCGAATGAGTCAGTTCTTTTTATTGAAAGCCATACAGCTTGCAGCTGACTGTGACACTTGAATGTAGTTAGTGACTAGTTGAACTTCATGACAATGTCATGCCTTTGGTCAATAATATTTTATAAAAATCTGTGAAATATGCTTAAATGTTATTTGTTATTTAATATATATTATAATATATGTAATATTATGTATAATTATTCAGTTGCATTTGTGCTGCCTCTAAAAGGACATTAAATCTCATCCTTTGGAAATAGAATGGTATTTTTTCCTGATTATTTTCTGAGAACTCTACTTTCAAAAATATTAAATAAATAAATCAGAACTGTTAAGTTTTAATTCTGTGTTATTGATAGCTAAAGCTAAATCTATTTTAAAATTTTCATTCATATAGCTTAAATAAAATATAATATTAGATGGAAAAAGAAAAATATGAACTATTATAAATTATGTAAATTCAAGCAAATAGAAAAAATAAACATTTAAATAAATTACGATTTAGAATTGAAACAATTAGAATTTAGTTTTAGTAATTTAAAAATGAAAACTGGAAATATAAAAAAGCTAATTAAAAATCTTAATAAATACTTAATATATAAAAAACTTTTTTGATTAACACTGACCTAAATCTTTAAAGGGGTCATATGATGCTGCTAAAAAGAACATTATTTTGTGTATTTGGTGTAATGAAATGTTTATGCGGTTTAAAGTTTAAAAAACACATTATTTTCCACATACTGTACATTATTGTTTCTCCTCTATGCCCCGCCTTCTGAAAAGCGTCGATTTTTACAAAGCTCATCGGTCTGAAAAAGCGAGGTGTGCTCTGATTGGCCAGCTATCCAGTGCATTGTGATTGGCCGAATTCCTCAAGCGTGTGACGGAAATGTTACGCCCCTTACCATACTGTGTTGATGCCGTGTCCGGCCGGAGCAACGACACAAAAACATGAAAACCCATTACCCATGCATTTGTTGCATCCAGTGGGGACATAATTACTGATTATAATGACTTATACTGTCGTTTTACGCGTTGCGTTGCATTGCGTCGCGTAAACATAAAACCATGTCTGCATTTGTGATCAGAGAAATGACAAACAACAAGTGCTATTCTACACTGCCCAAAACTTGCGTTTGAATCATCAGTGGCAAATCCTTTAAATGAAAACGTACTTACGTGAGTCAGAACTGCCGGCATTTTAGTCAAACGTTACTCTCCCAGGATCAGTAAACAGTCCTCCATAAAATGTGCCGGCAATCCACAGCACTAAGTTGATGTATTTCCTCAGCGACCAGCACAGATCAGCTCTAGGCATGACGAAGCGATATCGTCCTCTTTTGGCAGACCAAATAAAGTAGTTTCGCTTTGACAACGAAGCACACAGCGTCTTAACGACATGGCGGCAGCGGCAACAACAATATACAGCGAGAATAAAAGTTACGCCTTCTTTCTTTGCGTGAACATTTGGGCGGCGTTATGCAAATCTTCCCACATAGTGAGGTAGATATGTGGGGGCGTGTTCGAACGAGCCGTTTTAGGTAGGTGTGGCTGACTCTTAACTTTTATAAAGAATATCTCTTTGGATTTGAGACTTTAGTCTTTGCAACTTTACAGATCTTCTTTATGCACCAAGAGCTTGTAACACTCCAAAGAGAAAGGAAAAAATGAAATTGCATCATATGACCCCTTTAAGAGGAGCCTCAATCATAATCATTTATTGACATCCAACACAGTAGTGTTTATCTTGAACAAATAAAAATGAAACCATTGAACACTCAGTACCCTTAATAGTTTCAGTTGTCTGTTTGTTATTTAATTTAATTTATTTTTTTTATTTTTTTGATGGTTTCTTGCTGTCGGCATCCAATCATAGACTTCACTGTGCATCTTTATCTTTGGACCGTGTGGATCTCAAACAGTCCATGTTGTCGTGAACTGGCGAGTTCACCCAGACTTTTATGCAGTCAGTAAACGATATGGGAAGTGTTTCTTCACAGAAGCCCGTTTATTTTTATACGGTTAGTTGCATTTTATAATTTGCATTTTGCATTGTTTTTCCCCTTCAGAACAGGCCCGTGACCCATTTTCGGGTTTCTCCCCGCCATTTGAGAATCATTGGTCTGGGCGTCTCGGAACAGTGATCTAAATGCTCTCAAGTTAAAGCGCTTGTGTTTCTGTCACCCGTCATCAACAGCAGGGTCAATACTCATTGTCTCAAGAGGCCTGATGGAGAACATCCTAATCAGAGGTGGTTATTCATAGCGCACTCACTCTAAATGCATTCATGAAGTATTCATCAAGCCTCAAACACAGGCTTTTCATCTCTAAATCAGCCTGTTAGTGTTTTTGTTTTGTACTTTTTTTAGCCAACATATCTAGTACGAGAGCTAGTTAGTTATTACCTCCGTAATGTCGGCTTCCCTCAGACTCGGCTCGCTGTTATAATGTTTGATGAGTTTGCCCTCTATTTTTCATCCTTGTACTTTTCTCTCTCCACTTTCTCTGGATCCGTTTCAGCGGTTTGCTCAGTTGATCAGATAGTAACCTCATCATATTTGTTGCCATGGTGATTTTACTTGCCTTAAATGTCAGCAAGTGAACTTCACTGATCTTTGTCTCGCTAGACTGCCGTCCTGTCATTTTCTTTTCCTTTTTTTCCTAGATAAACATTTTTATTACATTTTTTTGCAAACCCTTTACAGTAAGGTTAAATTTGGTAACATTAATTTATGCATTAGGTATCAGGAATTAAAAACAAACAACACTTTTGCAGAATAAATTAACATTATGTACAAAAACGAATAAATAAACAATAGTGTATTTATAAATTACCATTAAAATTATTTATAATTTTTCATGATACCTAATGCTTTAATGTTAACAAATTTTTTTTTTTACTTTAAATGCCTGGAAATAAGGTAAGTACAATACAAAGGTAAATATACAATACAAATAAACACAACAATGAGATTTTATTTTTGTAATGATATTACATTCCACAGTTTTAACATTTTTTCCCAGAATTTATTTTCTCTTTTTTTTTTTTTTCTTAAACATTTTTACAGTTTTATTCATTTTTTTCAGGTACTCAACAGACACATTACTGATGAAAAAGATCCGATAAACCTTTAGGCTTCAGTGTCCCATTAAAAAGCTGCAGTTTCACCAATTCTGCTACTTTTTTCATTTTATTTTTATATTTTGAAGACAAAAATATTCCCGCTCATGTTTCCCATCCCACCCCGCTCAACAAATAACTGAACAAAGGCTGACAACTGTTGGCTGTGATGTAAACACATTTGTGTGAATGTAATGTGTAGATTGTGTAAAGGAATCTGTGATCCTGAGCCCATATTACCTACATGCCCAACACTTCATGATCTTCCTTTGAGGAGAGTCCTTAAAATGCCCACTAAGTGACAGTTAGGCTGTTAGTTTTTATTCATTACCACTTTCACTATAAGCATCACAATGATCCATACAAAACTTATGAAATGCACCTGTTTTCAGTCTATGACTCTGTCTAGGACGGATGCCAATTAAGCTGTAATTGAAAGTGTTTATTCTCGGCGTCTGATGCGAGCATCTGCCCTTCGGTGCTCTTTGATGTCTTTATACTCTGTGATTGAACACCCCTCTTTGCCTTATTGGTGAAAGGAGGAGTGAATTTAAGTGTGTTTTTAAATATTATTACATGTTTTTCTCAAATAGGACTGTGGAACTGGTTTTATTTGAGAAGTGTTGTGTACAACCAGCAACTGACCCCATTTATGTCTTCGCCTAGGAGCGTAATCTGTGGACTGAAATACATATTTTCCTCCTAAGTGTGTCAAGGAACACTATCTTATATAAGGCCAGATGGGCTTGTTGCAAGATGGCCCTAAAACAGATTGTTTATTGTGTATTTATGCAGGTTTTCTGTTGCATGCACATTGTAATCAAGCACTGTGGAGTTTGTGGGCTGTGTTTGGTCGATTTGTTGCTTCTGGAAAGTGTGAAGAAGTCTTCTGGAGTTCTGGATGTTTATGTAATTTCATGGCCAATTGCATTGTCGGCATGCAACAAAGTCTTTTTACTTGAATGCTGCCACACAAATCACCTAAAGCGCCCATAAATCTGTCAGAAACCTCTGCTGGACCCATATTTCATCAATGCAGAGTTGAGAAGGAGACTTTTTTTAGTGAACTGTTGGCTGTGTTTATGGTGAAAGATCCCATGAAATGGTTTTGGAAGTAGTGTTGGGATGGATCATTTTGAAATGGCCTTTAGAAACAGCCTTTAGTTTGTCACGGCTCTGCAAAACGTCACTTGGCAGCTTGTTTTATAAATGAACGCAATGAAAACTCTCAAAATGAAAAATGAACGTCAGCTGCAACCAATTAATGGTTGTTAAAGAACTTAAAGTATGAGCATCAGCGCAACCAATGATGCTTTGTTTCTTGCTATGGATATTTGGAAGCAGGTGATATTTATGATTTAGGTTGTTTAGCTTCAAGTAAAATGAAACGCCCCTGAAACAGTTAAAGGGATAGTTCACCCAAAAACAAACCTGTATGAGTTTTTCTTCTGTTGAACACAAAGAAGACATTTTGAAAGGATGTAGGTTACCAAACAATTGCTGGTAGCCATTGATTTCCATTTTTTTTACGCCATTTCTTTCAGAATTTTCATTTTTGGGCGAGTTATCCCTTTAATCAACATCTACGAGGAGAGGAGAGGAGAGGAGAGGAGAGCTTTTTTAATGGGTTTTCCCATGGCTTTTGACAAATTAGATTTTTTTTTGGTCCTTTGTGACTTAAGGATTAAAAAAATAAAATAAAATAAAAAGGAATGCATTCATGAATAGCAATTTATAGGCAATGAAATTTTTTTGAGCAGAGCCTTACTATACATCCACTATAGAATTTTTTGACATTTCATGATGTTTGATTTATTTCATGACTTCCACAGCTGGAAATCACAATTCCCTGATCTGCGAATCTTTCAATGATCCCTTAAATCTGCTAAATGTTGGTTTTGTCCATGTTTAGGAGTACACTAGTGTATATACTGTATACGGCTTCAATGTCAAACATGAATATTTCATAGTCTTTAAATATGTAAGCGCCCATTCTTTGTACAGCAGTAACCTGACAGACTTGATTGGACACCAGGCTAACCACTAGTTGAGCCGCTGGCCATCATGCTAATGTGTGGAACCGAGAAAGTCTATGAAAGAAACCTGGCAGGTATTTTCCTTTATTTTTAATTTTTTTGGCAAATCTCCCTTCTAGAAATCTGTAAACATGGTCTTGCTGCAAAGCTAAATCTCCTAGTGTAGGTTTTTGGCATGGATGAATGAGTGTGCTGATTCGCCAGTGACCCTTGACGCGTGTGTCCCTTCATAGCACGCTGTTTTATGGCTGCTCAAGTGATTTTTTTAAATGCATTTATAGCATGTGAAATGGATAACAAAAAGTTTCAGATTGCGAAATGAATGCGTGAGAAGAGAAATTATGAAAACAGCTTGAGGGAACCAATTGCATGTCGGCTTAGAGATTGTATTAAGCTTGTGCTTGCCGCCCATCCTCCATTTCGAGGTCATGATTCCACAGATGTACCTCTTTTGTGCACCGCTGCTGTCTCATGTAATCACCAGGCACTTACATACCACATCCTGTTTTGGGAGTTCCCTTTAAGTAAAGAGACGCATGGTTAAACAGGGCAGGAAGTTGGATTCAAATGAGGATTTCTTTTATCAGCCCATAGATGCTTTCAGAAGAGAAGTCGGCATGCGTTCCCATCAAATGGCATAAATGCCTCCTTCCAGACAAGCTTAAGGCAGTAACAGTGTGATGTTGAGTTGTCTTTCTGTCTACGTCAGCCGTGTCTACAGGGACTAAGTGTTCGCTGTCTAAAACAGGATATGGCATCTTTCCTTTCCAGTAATTCTTGGTTCAACAAAAGCCTACCTGATTTCCCCCAAGGCAGGTTTTTGATTTTATGCATCATTATTCTTTTTATGTTTCCTTTTTTTTCCATATGGAGGCCACAAAACTCTCTCACACACATACTATATTGATAGTAGCTAAAGAATTTGCACACTTCCTACACACTCATTCACACTCATGATGACTGTAATTACTAAAAAACAAAGAAAGAAGCACATAATAAAATCGAAAGCATGTTAGAAATGTCCGTTGATACCATTTGGACATGAATAAGAAATGAAACATGGAAAATGCTCAAAAAATGTCCTCCCCGTTAGGATTTGTTTGTTTTCTCTTCTGGAATATTATAGGTATTATTTTTCTCTTTACAATTTGCTGTACAGCAATAGCAACATAACGTCACGAGCAGGCATCTCCAATTCCTGAAATCTTCCTGGTTTATGCACAAGTGGATACTTTAGCCGCATCTCAAGAGGCATTGCAATAGTCTCCAGGGTCCGAGACAAATCGGCGGATTTAGCCACAACAGATCCAAATCGCATCAAAGTTGTGAAAGCCTCATGGTCTCGGTGCTCTTGAATTGTCCGAACTCCTGGGCTTTAAACATTGGCACTGGACCTCCATACTTGTCCAGATACAAATACCATAGTCTCCAGGTTTGGCAGTTTTTAGACGGCAGTCCAACAGACATGTCAATATCCATCCTTGCAGCATCAGAATGAGCAATACTGTCTGTTTTTTGCTTTATTCGTCACCTTTTTCTTGTGCTCACCAAAGTCACAACTTTGAAAGGATGACTGTTTTCCTGTGTAGGATCTTGACGACGGAAAGTCCCGTCGATATTATCTTTACAATTATCCGTGATATTTAAAAAATTTTTTTTTTTTTTTTCGTTTTTTTGTCTTTGTTTTCTTTTAAACAATCAGGACACTCAGTTGTAGATTCACACACGTGGTTAAAAAATGGCCTGGTTGGCGAGATTAGAAATTATTCTAAATTAACACTATTTTAATCTTCAGTTATGGTCTTTTTTTAATGTGTTTTGTCCCCCATTGTCCAGCTGCACACATAGGCTTGGGGGTTTTCAGAGGCCGTCCCTTAACACACGGTGCCGTTTTCTTGGCGGGATTTGGGGCACGTGGAGCGAGGGATCGGCTGTACTGAGGGCGCCAGCGTGCAGAAGAAGCCGGCAATGAGGGACAGGCCCAAACCGCCCCAGGCGCAGAACATTGACCAGCCGTAACCGTGACTGATGTCGTCTGGGAGGCCGTATATGTAGCGAGGGTAACGGGACAGCTCGAAGTTGATGCCTGCTACACAGGTGCACAAGGAAATGATGCAAAATGTACCTGAAAAAGAGAAAGGCAATCATCAGAATATTCATCCAACTGAAGTTTCATACATTTACTGTGCTGATTTTGAGTTCCAGTTCAGTGGAAATCTGCAGATAATTCTGTAGAGGTCTACATTACAAGTGAATCATACAAATAGGCAAGGCAAGGCAAGGCAAGGCAAGTTTATTTGTATAGCACATTTCATACACAATGGTAATTCAAAGTGCTTTACATAAAAGAAATAGTGGTCTTTGCGTAAAGTAAACCCACACTTGACCCTTCGCAAAGACCCGCCCCCCCTTAGTTACTGTTGCTGTGTCCGACAAGCTATGGTGCTCTCACGCCACACATCATGTTCTCACGCAGTGAAAAATACATTGCGGAGCAAAGAGGAAACTGACAAAGACAAAGCAGGTTACTTTAGGTATGAAACAAAGTCTCAATAAATAGTCCATTTTTAAGTAATTCAAACAATAAATACTGTTTTGTGGCTCTTTAATGTGTCGTGACAGATCGCTGTAGCGCCTCAGTTCAAGCAGCACGTGAACCGATCATCTCCTTTTTACTAGCTATAGCTAGAAATAATAATAAATGAACATCAGAAGATATCATTTCAACCGCGGAAAGACCTGTCTAGTTTGCAGATTCGTCATTATAATTGGTCAGATCGTCTGTCAATCAAACTCCCGGTGAATTAATTCCAAAAGAGTCGGGCGTTAACACATGCTAAGCTAATACTTAGTAATAAGCAGCAAATAATATTAAGTAAAAATAGCACAGCAAATGCAAATATTGGGGAAATGATCAATATGAAATTAAGAAAATTATTTTTATATAACTTTTTCACTGACCATTTAGATGTGAGCTTAATGTTACACTTTTAGCAATGCTAATAGGTGAATAAATATGTGACCCTGGACCACAAAACCAGTAATAAGTTGCTGGGGTATATTTGTAGCAATAGCCAACAATACATTATATGGGTGAAAATTATCGATTTTTCTTTTATGCCAAAATCATTAGGATATTAAGTAAAGATCGTGTTCCATGAAGATATTTTGTCAATTTCCTACCATAAATATATCAAAACTTAATTTTTGATTAGTAATATGCATTGCTAAGAACTTCATTTGGACAACTTTAAAGGTGATTTTCCTCAGTATTTTGATTTTTTTTTGCACCCTCATTCCTTATTTATTCAGCTTTCAGATGATGTATAAATCTCAATTTCAAAAAATGGACCCTTATGACTGGTTTTGTGGTCCAGGGTCACATATGCGTCCTAGACATATGGTCTCTATTGACTTTGCTAATTATATAATTGTGATCATTTCAGAATTGCTGAAATTAGAGGACTGGAGAACAAAAACATCACAAGCTGGCTTTGATGAGATGGTCAGAAGTTATTTAAATAGAGCTACCAAACCAAATCATCATTTTCGAATGATTTTCGAAGAGAAATCTATAGAAAATTGTAAGTGAATTTGCAGTGGCAGCTTTCTGTCTATAGCCTACACTGTCATTAATTGCAATCAATTGTATTTTCGATGTGCCGCATTGGCTGTGTTAGGCTACAGGCCTACTACAAGCTGCGGTTGTTATATGTTATTACATAACATTGCAGTGACATTCCATCATACAGTTGCAGACTCTGCATATTCACAACTCCTCTTTCTCAAGCCTTGTTTCATATATTACAAGCTTTATCTGCAAGTCGAGCCCTGTATAGATGACGCTGTCGTAACATGCTAGTTGATAAAGAGCTCTAACAAACTCATTTTCCCGCACCATGTGACAGAGTGAACATTCAGAGGGGATTCATCCTGCCATAATCTGACCCTCAGCGCTCCTTCTGCCTTTATAATTTAGCATCTTAATTGGCTTTTTAATTGCCATCTCATTATTCAGGCACAGGGCATCACATTAATCCAGTGCACATCTTAATTGCGTCTCCGCTTCACTCTCTCTTATGGGAGCGGAGAGAGTGACGCAAAACAAGTCAGCCGCTTCCTCTGCTCGACGGGCATTAACAGAATATCAAAATGCTCGGTAACGAGGCCACAGGCTGTGTTGATTGGTGTGAGCAGCATCTGTGTTGTGAGGTGATGAACTCGTGGGTGTGTTCAAAAGACAGAGCGATGCTCACCGTCGAGAGCCTCGATACTGGTTGGCGTAAAGTGAGATAAGAGATCAGGAGATAATTGAGATTACATAATTGCTTTAATGCCGGCTTCCTGGCTGTCACTCATTAATTAATGCAGTCTTGGGGTGACTTGCGTAGGAATTATTGACTACCACAATGAGCTCAGCACACAGTATTCACACAGTATGTCTGTCTGTCTATCTATCTATCTACACACACACACACAGTGAATGTGTATATATTGTGTATATCCTTTATATATGTGTGTGGTTTTGAATTTTATATCATATTTATACATGTGGTTTTATTATTAAATGATCTGTAATAAATTCACAATTTATTTATATAATTAATATATTCATTCATTCTTATAATGTAATTTTCTTTCATTTTTAAATAAATATAATACTGTATATAATATAATAAAATATACATATATGTACATGTATGTGTACTTATATATAATATATTTATATACGTGATTTTATTATTAAATGATTCTTAAATTAAAATTATATTAATTTGTTCTTTTTTATTTATATAGTTTTCTTTCATATATATTATATTATATATTACATTACATTATATTATATTATTCACGGACACGCAACATTTGTGAGAAATTTTTGCAAAATGACTCTTCTTTGTGGGTTTCCAAAAATATTTAAAATAATTTGCTTGTTTTTACTAAAGTGTGTTCTTTTCATTATGTTGATATTTTATTTAATGGACTTTATGGGATTCATTTTTTTGTCAAAATAGCCTTTTGCCCATTTACCCATTCAGGTAAATTAGCTAAATTAGTTTCCCAACCTTTTTCCTGGAGCACATCAACACTAAACTTTTTTTTCCCCCCAAATATTCCTAATTAAACACACCTGATTCAACTCATCAGCAGCTCGTTAATAGACTCCCCAAGACCTAAAGGGAATGGGTCAGATAAGTCAGACATCCGAAAGGTGTGCCTTCAGGAACACGGTTGGGAAAACTAGCAAAAATGCAGACATTGTATACATTTATTTTATTTTAATAAAAATGTAATGTATCAAGTCAATGAATACAGAGGTTTTCATAATAATAATATATAATAATAATACATAATAATAAAATGTATTTAAACATTCATTTATTATCCAAAAACATGTCTTAATTTTTGTCTCAAAATCACTTATCGTACATTCCAAATCTACTTCCAGCTTGGACAAGTTCAATGGAGCAGGAGATACAACTGATACAGATGTGTTTTCAAGGTGAAAAACTTTTTATTCACGTGTTGTGTTGTGTTGTGTTATAAATTGTGCCCAAATAAGCTAAGCAATTAAGTAGAATTTTGACCAAATTTCATTCATTCATGAAGCTTAATTAAATAATTAGGTCTAATAATTAGGTCATCAGGGAAAATGTTAACATCCTCACATTATTTATACTTGCATAGATTTAATTTATTCTTTACCCTCCTTGTGAAGGGTGTCAATGATTGTCTTCTGGACAACTGTCAGATCAGCAGTCTTCCCCATGATTGTGTAGCCTAGTGAACCAAACTGAGAGACCATTTTGAAGGCTCAGGAAACCTTTGCAGGTGTTTTGAGTTGATTAGCTGTCGTGGAAAAGTATAACTTTTCCACGACATTCTAATTTATTGAGATGCACCTGTATATATATACTTCTACAGATTATGCTATATAACTTGACTTAACTATAATTTAATCCGTGTACATACTGTAAACAGCCTATATTGTCCATGTAGGCTTGTTTTGATTTGACTTACCGCCCATGAGAAAGAGCAGACCTGCCACATACTGCATGAGGCCACGGTCCCAGCAACATCCCAGCATCCCAATGATCCAGCCGAAGAGGATGATGGCCACCGCCATTCCCATAAATCCTGCCGTCATCCTCCGCAGATCTGTGGGTGGCGAGAAATAAGGCAAGTCAAACACATGACTCAGAGCTGATAAGGGCACGGCGTGGACACGCTCTGCAAAATGACGCATTTTAATGAGTGCTTCTATAAGAACTGTACTATGTTCTATATTATTACGTTATATTGTAATATATTCATAGTTTTTTTTTAAACCAGCTTCATCAGGCGATTCATGAGATGCTTTTTAAACTATTAAAAGGAGTACTTGTGTATGCTGGGCTGGACAATCTAGCATTTGAGTAGTTTGTTAGCAGAATTCAAAATTGCAATTGAAAATGAATATAACTGCATATACAAAGTTCATAAACTTTATAAATCCTGCAGTAATGCACTGCACTTTCCCTGCTGTGAGTGTTTGAGTGTGCGACAGGGTTGACTCTGTGTTAGTTAGAGGGTAGGTCACAACATTTGTGTTCGTTAGCTCTTTTTATTCTCAGTTGAATTCTCGCAGTACAGGAAAGGTGGCAGGCCCAAAACGCTGGGCACGGTGGCTTATGCCAGCCAACTGTGAAAGGGTCACAGAATTCACCTCCGGGGCAGACGTGCCACTAGATGAGCATGCTGTAAGAGAGCTTTTATTACTTTCTAATAGGAATGAGGTGTTAAAAGCTTTTTTTCATGAAAGTCATATCAAAACGAAAATGTCAGATATTTATGAAACAGCAATTGATCATTCCCACATCTCTATGACAGGATATTCAGCAGATGCTTGTTTGTTATTGCTTAAATTGAAAGTGACAGATTTCATGAGTGTATGGAAGCCTGTTTCATCCTCTAAGAAGAAATGGTAATTGCGATGTTTGTTTTTGGCACTTGTGACTTCATATTCTTAACTTTCCTTAATTTGCGACTTTAAATCTCAGTGTAATTTTATTCCTTTCAATTGCAACCATTTCGGTTAACTTCAACTTTATCACTGTACTTGTGTTTGCAATGTTATATCTCACAATATGACTGGTTTCCATATTTTCACATTTATTTTTCACAATATGATTTCATTTGTTGTAATTACAGCTGTTTTCAGTAATTGCGATGTTATGGGACATTAGTGAAGTTTTATTTCTAGTAACTGCAACTTTTACCTTTAACTGCAGGTTTATGTCTCGCAATGTTACTATTTCCAGTATTTGCAGCTTTATTTCTCACAATGTGACTTCATTTCTCACAATTGCAACTCTTTTCAGTAATTGTAACTTCAAAATGTGACAATAGCCTGATTCGACGGTAATTGTTTCTCATATGGACGTACGTAAAAATAAATTTACATATCACCTCAGTGATAAAACTCATGGATTCGGATGGTGATCTATTCACAGTGGAGGAGCGAGTTCTGTGATCCTACGAACCCGGGAACGTGCTGCTCACGTGGCCAGTCACATGATTGTCTGCTGTAAATAAAATGCATTTTTTCAATTTATTCTTATTGTTGTGTAAAATGAATTTTAAAAATACTTATTCTTATGTAAAATGTATTCTTATTATTCCAAGCATATTTTATAATATATAATCCTATTTATTATTTGATTATTTAAATCTCCTGTTTAAAAATAGGAAAACAGACGCGCTATAGTTGTAAATAATTATACACGATATCTGTTTATAATACACATTTAAAAATTGTATTGCATACCTGCTGCTGCCACAAAGACCCATTTCGAATGTTTACGTGCTTTTCTACTCTTTCTGCTCCCAGTCGCTGTGGTGGAGCAGTCATGAAGTATTGTTATTTTAAATACTTTCCAGCATTTCAGAAATAGGTTAAATATGTATGCAAATTACACTGAAGTAGGCTACAACGTTACCTTACGGTGTTCGGGAGTGCTCAAAAAGGGTTTAAACTGAATTTTGAATCGATTTCTTCTCATAAACTCAGAGATGTGGATTCGGACGGCAATTAAATTACCACACGACCTTGGTGTTTGTCAAAAAACAGTAGGTAATTCGGCCGGGGATTTTTACGGGGGTGGTGAGAGAAAAACATAGACATCCTGGATTCGGACGGCATTAAAATCCCCAACTACCCCCTGTAAATGGTGAAAATCACTTACGTCCCCCTGAGAAACAATTACCGTCCGAATAGGGCTAATGTGACTTTCTTGTATTTGCAGCTTCATCACAATGCAACTAATTCTTGCAGTTACAACTTTGCTTTTCATAACTGACTTTATCTTACAATGTGACTTCATTTCTCACAATTGCCATTAATTTTGGTAATTGTGGCTTTATATCTCACAATGTGACCTTCTCATATTTGCACCTTCATTTCTCACAATGCAACTTTTTTTTCCTGTAGTTGCAAATGTGTTTTTCATATTATTATTTTTTTTACAATGCAACTGTATTTCTTGTAGTTGCAACTTTGTTTCTTGTAACTGTGACTTAATTTTACACTGTGACTTTCACAATGAAACAATTTTTGGGGAAATTGCAACTACATCTCAAAATATGACTTTCTAGTATTTGCAACTTAATTTTTCACAGTGCAATCTTATTTTTCTTGTAGTTGAAACTTAATCTTACACTGTGACTCTAGCAGTTAAACAATTATTTAGGTAATTGTGACTTTTTCATAATGTGACCTGTAGTTTTTTGCAACCTCAACTTATTTGCAACTTCCCAATTGCAGCCTTATATCTCGGTGTGACTTTTTCTACACCATAATATTTATTTATTTTTGTTTACGTTCTCACAATTACCATTGTGTTTTACTCTGAGGTGGAAACAACCATAGAAGTACCATTTGTGTCTCATAAAACTCTTCACAGAATGTTTGATAGACCTGTGCCATCTGAACTGAAGTATTTCTCTCCTTATAAGTTGTCTTGGAACTGTTTTACTTTGCTGTCCTTTGAGAGAGCTCGGTTATGACCCTTAGATATGGTTTACTGCAATATTGCATCAATAAAATAAAGCGGAGCCTTCACAACACCGGAACAGTTGGTGTGAAATAAGCAAGGTTACGTTATAAATTGGTTCTTTCTTAAAAGTAGTTTAAAGAGAAGTTGGCCAAGGCATGTACTATCAAACACACACATTGTGGTTTAAAAAAGCTCACAAGACTCTGAGGTGGAAACAACCATAGAAGTACCATTTGTGTCTCATAAAACTCTTCACAGAATGTTTGATAGACATGTGCCATCTGAACTGAAGTATTTCTCTCCTTATAAGTTGTCTTGGAACTGTTTTACTTTGCTGTCCTTTGAGAGAGCTCGGTTATGACCCTTAGATATGGTTTACTGCAATATTGCATCAATAAAATAAAGCGGAGCCTTCACAACACCGGAACAGTTGGTGTGAAATAAGCAAGGTTACGTTATAAATTGGTTCTTTCTTAAAAATAGTTTAAAGAGAAGTTGGCCAAGGCATGTACTATCAAACACATTGTGGTTTAAAAAAGCTCACAAGAGTGTTATTTAAACATTGAGTCAGACTACAAACACTTTGCCACACATCTCATGGAAAGCTTACTGGTACTGCTTACTGAACTTACTGGGAACAGCCTTATTTTAGTTTCTTACGTTGGAGCCCACGTAATATTTGTTACATAATAATATAGACTTTGTTGTTGTAGAAACGGGTAGTGTCAGTCAGCATGTAGGCAACAGCATGCATTCTGAAACAATAGGTGCTCCGTTATAGTCATATAAATTGCTATGGATTAGACAAGAGTTATATCCATGCAACGTTTTCGCTTTGTGGTCGTCTGTGACTTTATCTGTCAAGAGAAATGCAAGAGAGAAAGCGGTTTACATGAAGTTGGGAGCCTTTCTTAGTTAGGAACAAATTATAAAACACTGTTTGCTACCTGAATGGCAGCTTTGGTCTCATGTTGAGAGAAACATGTTATGCCTCAGAGAGCAAAGTATTGAATTTCTCTTCCCTTCAACGTTTTTAGTAAGCCACTGGTTATAAAAATCATGTTTATGCCGTTTTTCATGAGTGTTGCACAACTTCATTCTGTAATAAGTGCAGCATACCAGTATGGATTGGTTTTGGCTAACAATTTTATTTCTATTTATTCTACTAAATGGGCTCTGCTGTATGAATATTTACTAAAAATTTACTCATTATTTAAATTGCTTTAAATGTGTTGCTGTTTCGCAACAGTGGTTCTCTGCTTCGCATACTGAGTGTAACTTTCCATTGTAATTTTCCTGAAATATTTATCTACCTAGCGGATGTGAAAGAATGAGTGATTGTGTGGAGATTGTGGAAGGGTTTCTTAAAGGTTCTTATGCAATCTGCACACTGATGCTGAACCAGACTGTCAGCATTGTTCAAAATGTATGTTAACTAGAAGAGGACGTCAACGAGAGTACAAGAGCGCAAAACGCTAGACAGGCAGCTCTTCTGGAAACAGGCCAGGAGAAGTCTCTGTAGTTGGCCCTCTCCTTTTGTTTGATATTCTTGTCGTTTTTGTATCTCTGTGATTCGTAACCTGCTGGGCTTCCAGATGTGTCAGGTTCTGCCAGAACTTTGTTCCCCTTGCTCTCGAGCGCTAAATGAGAAAGCAGACCGTAAATGCTGTACTGCAAGCAAATGTGTGCTTTCAAAGTCTCTAAAGTGAAGGGTGTATAATTATGTGTGGCACAGGATCTTCGCCAATTAGATACTTTTTAATCAAAGAGAGGGAAATATATAGAATGTACTGAAGCTTGATTTCACTGAATTCATGACATGAAATGACAGGTCTTTTAAATTCAGTTTTCCCACTCTGGAATATGCCATGAATGCCTGAAATGATGAAAAGACTGCTCCCTTAGGGCTGGACCTGACAAGATTATGCTTCCTCAAAATGAAATGTATAGTCAGGGTTTGAAACTGTTCCATGCGATCACCCACTGTTTTAGCGACGAATACTATAAGGATATACTTAAAGGATTAATTTACTCTCCTTCCAAACCTCTGACTTTTTTTCTGTTTACAGAACACAATGGAAGATATTTTAAAAAATGCAGGGATGCAAAAATTGGAACCCATTG